AGAACTTACAAAAATGTAGAATTGAGAAGTTTGAAACAAATAAAATTAAGAAAATAGATATTTAATTACACTTTTAATAAATTTAAGATAATACTAGTTTTGATTTTTATTTTTAAATATTTATTTTAATTATTTAAAACAGAGAAACTATAATTTTAGTTTCTAGCTACTTGAATTTAAAGAATTAAATTTATTATTATTTAATCTTTTAATTTGTAGAATTAAACTCAATATAATTGTTAAAAATACTTTGTAGAGGCATTTGAGAAAGCTTTTGTCAAAATACTTTGTTTTTAATTGTTAAAAACATTTGTAGAGGCATTTTGCAAAATCTTTTAAGTGAAGAAACCTCATGCAACGAAATCTTTTAATTTTAGTATTAAAAGTTTAAATTATATTTTATTAAATTAAACTAGTTACAATATATTTTTTTACTTTGAGAATGAACAATATAATTAAACTCAAAATTGACAATATTATAATACATTTTTGAACTCTTTTGGATTAATTTTTTTCCTAATTTTTAATAAATTTAATTTTAATATTTAAAAATATTTAACATTTTGAATTCTGAAAGGTTTTTTCTAATAGCAAATTTAAAAACATAATATTCAAAAACATAATTGAGAAGATATGATAGCGGTTCCACGTTAACCGCTATCTAAAGTATAATTTAGATAGCGGTTAATGGTTAACTGCTATTAGAAGTGCACTTGTAAGAACGGTTCTTGTGGAACCACTATCTAAAATGAATGTCGCTTGAGCGAGAATATTCTCGCTCGAGCGAAACGCCCCCTGCACAAAATTAGCATTCTCGGGTTGTATTTCGCTTGAGCGACACTACTCTCGCTCGAGTGAAATACGTTTCGATCGATCATAACTTGAAATGATCGATCATAATTAGAGGATATAATAGCGGTTCTCTTATAACCGCTATCTAAAGTGTATATTAGATAGCGGTTAAGGCTTATACGATATCTGAAGTGTATTTCGCTTGAGCGAGACTACTCTCGCTCAAGTGAAATCCGATTCTGATCGATTATATTTTCAAAATGATCGATCATATTTGATAATTTTTTCAAATAATTAATTATAATCGATTAGTTTTCTAAATTATTGATTAGAATTGATTAGTTTTTCAAATAATAGATTAGAATTGATTAATTTCTAAAATATATACTAAAAAATTATAATTAAAACTATAAATTAGTTAAGAATATTGACTATTGTAAAGATAAAATAGAACATGGGAGGAGATGAGGATGATAATATAATGATAGAACTTACAAAAATGTAGAATTGAGAAGTTTGAAACAAATAAAATTAAGAAAATAGATATTTAATTACACTTTTAATAAATTTAAGATAATACTAGTTTTGATTTTTATTTTTAAATATTTATTTTAATTATTTAAAACAGAGAAACTATAATTTTAGTTTCTAACTACTTGAATTTAAAGAATTAAATTTATTATTATTTAATCTTTTAATTTTAGTATTAAAATTTTAAATTATATTTTATTAAATTAAAATAATTACAATATATTTTTCTACTTTGAGAATGAACAATATAATTAAACTCAAAATTGACAATATTATAATATATTTTTGAACTCTTTTGGATTAATTTTTTTTCCTAATTTTTGATAAAGTTAATTTTAATATTTAAAAGTATTTAACATTTTGATATAATGAGCATGATAATATAATGATAGAATTTACAAAAATGTAGAATTGAGAAGTTTAAATTTTTTTTAAGAAAATAGAGATTTAATTATACTTTTAATAAATTTAAGATAATACTAGTTTTTAAACCTTTTTCTAATATTTGTTTTTAAAAATATAATATCATTTTTAATATTTTATAGATTTTATATTTATATATTTATAAAAGTAATTGGATTAAATTTATTATCCTCTCATATATTATTATACATTTAGCGTAATTTTAGTTTATTTAAAAATTAGAATACAAATATACTATACCAATATACCATTATATTATTTTCATTGTATATAAATTACAAAATTAATAATTTGTATACTATACTATACTAACATATTATTTGTATACTATACTAATAGTATAATATACTATATTATAATATTATTTGTATACAAAACTAATATCTTTATATATAAATATATAAATATGGAAACATATAAATATATGTAAAAATATAAACATATAAATATATATAAATATGTAAAGATATAAACATATATCTTTAATATTTTGTAAATGTAAATATAATTTATATATATTTTTAAATCTTTTTCTAATATTTATTTTTAAAAATATAATATTATTTTTAAAATTTAATATTTTTTTCAAATATATAAATATATAAAGATATAAATGTATAAGGATATAAATAAATATATCAATATATCAATATTATCCCCTCATATATTAATATACATTATGCTATATAAATATATCAATATATAAATATATCAATATTTAAATATATCAATATTTAAATATATATTAAAATATATAAATATATTTTTATTTATAGATTTTATATTTATATATTTATATGGATATACATTTATTTGTATATAAATATAATTTATTTGTAAGTTATTATTAAAAGATCCTAGTAGCTCGAGTGGTTGGAGTTTCGACCTCCAACTCTAAGGTACCAGGGTTCGAATCCGACAATGACAATAAACCACCATTAATAATAAGTTAAACTAAATAAATATAAATAAAAACTTAAATAAGCAAAATATAATATAATTAAGAGATAAGGAAAATAAATAATAGATATAATAAAAATAATTAAATTTGTTATTGATTAACTTTTTCATTGATTTAGTGATCGATTTGGGTTATATATAATCGGTCACTGATTCGGTCACTAAATCGGTCACTAAAATCAGTGACTGATTCGGTCACTGAATCGGTCACTAAAATCAGTGACCAAGGAAATAGTGACCGATTCCAGTTGGTCACTATTTCGGTCACTATTTTAATTAGTAACCGATTTTGCACATTTAGTGACCGAATTTTCGGTCACTATTTGGTGTTTTTCTTGTAGTGTTTGGCCAACCGCTATCTGAACTATACATTATGATCGATTATTATCCAATTATAATCGATCAGATTGACATATATGACTTTACATAGCGGTTATTTGGACAACCGCTATCTAAACTATGCATTATGATCGATTATTATCCAATTATAATCGATCAGTTTTATATATATGACTTTAGATAGCGGTTATTTGGTCAACCGCTATCTGAACTATACATTATAATCCATCAGTTTGACATATGACTTTAGATAGCGGTTGTTTGGCCAACCGCTATCTGAACTACATTTATTATAGCGGTTATTTTGCTAACCGCTATCTAATATATATTTTTAAAAGCGGTTCTAATTAACCGCTATCTTAGGTCGCCTCGTGCTCAAGCGACTACGTAATCGCTTGAGCGACAGTTGAACCTTTACCAAACGAAATCATCGCTTAAGCGACAAAACCTTCAATTGGTGTGAATATTTGTGTATGAAGTAGATTAAACTGTTAATTTGGCATGAATATTTTTCAATTGGTGTGTTTGGATGTAGCAGAGAGTCATGTAATATTTTTTTGCACAAAAACACGATAATTTGTTAGATTAATTTGTCAAATTTTGAATTGTTTTCTATAATTCTGTGAATATATAATTCTGTCAAATTCTGTGAATATAATTCTGTGAATATATAATGTCAAATTTACATTGATGTTTATATGTCTACAACAATTAAAATTCACAAAGTCATTCATTATTACAATCCTTCAATTTCATGTTAACAAATTGTTCCACCATTTGGTTGTACACAAGACACTATATAATTGCATCCTGTCTTTTCTTTACGGTGGCACTTGCACCAACGAGGGTTGACATATGACCCGATGAAGAGCATGACCTCTTGCCTTTGTCCTCGACTGGCACCGACAAAAGAAAAAGAGTGTCAAAGAGACCGAGGATTATAATGAAACATCACTATAATGCCAGTTTAAATACAATTGGACAAAGAGACTGAGTGTCAAAGATATTGTTTTATTCTAAAACAATGATCACTAACTCGACCATCGACTAACTAGTTCTCTTATAATATTGCTTGATATTTGCAATGACTCTTTTATTTGAAGAAGCCATTTAAACGGAGTTTGTTCAATAGCTGCTCGTTGGTGTTTGGTCAACTTTGAATTTATATCGGCTATATACTCTGTCTCAATCTTGTGTCTTAATCTTATCTGCACATATAACATGTATAACATATATAACATACATAACATATAACAAATTGAATATTTAGTAAATCACTTTTCATAAAAAAACTATAATTAACATGCACATACCTTTTTTCTCGTCAAGACGGTCTCTTTTTGCAGACATTTTTTCCCAAACTAATCCTGTTACAAATTATTAAAATTGTAACTTACAATCACAAAATAGTACAAACAAACAAATTAAGTCCAACCATGTTACACATACTTTTGGTCAAATTGTGAATTATGCAAACGTGAGTGTAAATCTTGTGCATATTATACAAAATGTTTGTCATGCAAATACAATTCTTCATTGTAGCATTTTATCAAACACTTGTTGGACATTAATATAGCATCACAACTCAATTAACCCTAAACCCTACAGAATACTTTCATTACAAACCCAATCAAAGATAAACAGAAAACAAAGCAAGAATGCGCAAATACCAGCCTTCATTATAGCATTTCATCAAACACTTGTTCGACATTAATATAGCATCACAACTCAATAAACCCTAAACCGTGAAAAACACCTTCATTACAAACCCAATCAAAGATAAACAGAAAAGAAAACAAAATGGAAACCCAATCAAAAATACACACAAAATCAAGCAAATGTTGTTAAACGAACACTCACCACCGCAGAGGTCGCTCAAGCAACACACGGTGATGTTCAGCTCAACGACACGGACGAAGCCAAGCGACAGGAAGTCGAGCGCAGTGAAGAGCGAGATGGAGAAATTTTACCCTAAGTCGAGGGAGAAGAAGTCGAGCGAGGAAGAGCGCGAACGTGAAAGCGAAAATCAATAACACTTCTTCAAACATATCTTTCACTTTTTACAATAACATCCTCCATTTTTACAATATTACATCTCTACCCCTCTACAATTTTACTAATCAAACCCTTATTTTTAATTATTTTCTTTTTAATCCCGGTTGTCGAACGGATGTTTGTTTTCGGTTGTCAAAGAATCGTTTTCCTTTTTTATTTATTAACTTCAATATTTTTAATTATTATTGCCATAAATTATTAGAGTTCCCAAGAACCGCACGCAGAGATAATTTGATTTTTTTTCTTCAAAGCTTTATTTTCAATTCCTTAATTCTTGTTCCTCTTTTTCTAAATAAAACATCAAAGTTTACTAAAATAACTGAAGAACTATAACAACAAACATAATTCAAATGAATAATATAGTTAAAATATAATTTTTATTAAAGTAATCTATTTTTTAATTTATAATGGAAGATCAAGCTTTTAAGGTTTCACGAAAAAACTAAATTATCATTATTCAAAAATATTTTGACTAAAACCTAATCATATTCTTTTACATTGATCAGAATACTGTGTTTTATAAAAGACTATTTTGATAAAAAAAAATCGGTAAATTAATTTAGTTTCTTTTATTAATAATTTGTTTGAGAAAAATTTAAAACATTAATATACTTTTTGGTTTTGGTAATTAAATCTCAATAATTTAAATTATTAAAAAACGATGAATTGAAAAAAATATTATAATAATATTGAAACAATATCCTACTTATGGAGCCTAAATTTATAATAGAGAATTTAACGTTTGAGAATGAAAATAAAAAAGTGTGTACCCACAGCACAAAAGTTTTCCCCCATCAACTTCAGTGAAAGGGTTACATCATGCAGAACCCATATGTATGCAGTAAGTCTTAGAGAGTGACATCAACATCAATGGATGCATAATTGGTTGAATTTTCAAGTCTTCTAAAATATGTGTTATAAAATTCAGCATGTCAATCACATCAATACATTAATATTGGTTATGGAAAAACAGCCTTCACCGTACTTTTCAAAGACTTGGGTTGGGGAGTTTACTCACCCGATATATCCATAAGTCCTTCTCCATTATACAGCCGAGGGTATCCGTGAACATTCCTTTAGATTGAGACAAAAATAATTACAAAAATATATATAAATAATTTAATTGATAAAATTAATTTGATAGATTAAAAAATAAAATAATAAATTAAATTAGTAAATAATTAAAATATTTTTAATATAAATTTGTTTTTATAATAATTTATATATAATATTAAATTGTAGAAATTATTTTAAAAAAACAACAATATGATTTTTTTATATGTTTAAAAATGTATTTCATCTTAAAAATATTATTAACGAATTTCTTATAAACAAAAATGAATTATTATAAAATTGAAAAAAATGTAAATTGTTTTCTTTAAATAAAGAGATTGAGTGGCTAAGTAAGTTTTATATATATATATATATATATATATATATATATATATATATATATATATAATTATAAGTGTATTTTTAATTTTGCTAAAATTATTATTAAGTATTTTAAAAAAATTATTTTAATCTTCTTAATCTTATATATTTAAACATGTTGATCGTTGTTTTATGATAGACATATAATTGAAAGTATACAAATATATCATTTGACTTGAAAAGTAAATTATCTTCACTGATCTAGGATTTTAGACATGTAACTGATCAACATAATTTATGTTTATATATATATATATATATATATATATATATATATATATATATATATATATATAAAAGCATAGTTGGTAGAAAAATCGGAATGACTAAACACATTCAAGAAGGGGTGAATTGAGTTTGTAAAAGCTTTTTGAAAATCTAATCGAACATTTTTCGAATAATTAAATTGAAAAAGATTTTAGAATGTGTTGAGGTTTCAAAAACAACAAAATAAAGAAAAAAAACACAAGGATTTTATACTAGTTCAATTACGAAGAATCTACAAAACTATAAAATAAGAACGAAATCATCCGAACTTTAACAATATATAGAATTCTCTAACCAAATGATTTATCCCTTGAATGCAATTTCACAATGATTCACATATTCAAACGTTGTTTTGATCTTCACTAATCCTTTCTTTTATAATGCTTTTATCGTTTTTCAATTCTTGTTTTATTTGTGTAATTTTTCTTCTTTTAAAAGAGAAAAAAAATTACAGCTTGATTTAGATTAATTAGTAAAAAATCTAATCAATTATTCATGTGTAGTGATAATCAATTAGATACTAATATAATCAATTATTAATGCATGGTCTCAAAACATAGAACATGATCATATAATGATTAAGTGTCAATATAATTGATTAATAGCACATAATGATTTTACTCGCTTAAGTTTTAACTAATTTATCTTTTTACCTTTAAGATAGTTGATTAAAAATATATTTAATTATTATCATATTAGTTTTAACTTATTTATCTTTTTACCTTTAAGATAGTTGATTAAAAATATATTTAATTATTATGAGATTAAGAAAATTGTCACTAACGGAATTAAAGACTGATTTTCTAACCACTAAACTACTAGGATTTTCTCGATAAAAGCTTACAAATAAATTATATTTATATACAAATAAATATATACTTGTGTAAATATATAAATATAAAATATATAAATACAAATATATTTATATATTTTGATATATTTATAAGTTATATATTTATATGTTGGATGTAAGGGCGCGTTCAAGGGTGAAAGTGTGTGTCGAGTGAGTTTTCAAATATTTATATATTTATATAGTTATATATTTATATATTTATCTTTTTTTCTTCTATTATTTAATAAAAATTATTATATTAAAATAATTTTTTCAATATTAAAAATACTTAAATATTTATTTTTAAAATTATTTTTTAAAATTTTTTAATCTAACAAATTATTATAAATTAATCTAATTATGATTAAATTATTAAATAAAAAAGTATTTAATTTTTTAATTAGGTGAATAATTAATTTATTAGAATATATTTGAAATTAAGTAATTATTATATAATTTTAAATATTTAATTTTTTTAATTTAATGTTGATTTTTAAAAATATACTTTAAGTTCGTGGGTCATATCCGTCAAGTAACTAATTATTAATTTACCGACGGATATATTCATCAAGTAACTAATTGTTCATTCACCAAAGTTGTTCATTTACCGACAGATATATCCGTCAGTAATAAATTATTCATTTACCGACGAATTTACCAACAGATATATTCATCGGTAATTAATTATTCATTACCAATGGATTTATCGACAGATATATCTGTCGGTAATTAATTGTTCATTTACCGACGGATATATATATCTGTCGGTAATTAATTGTTCATTTACCGACGGATATATCCGTCGGTAAGACCAAATTTCACAACTACTCTAAATCTATTGGTAATCACTTATTTTCCGATGACTACATATCTGTCGGTAAATATTTGTCGGTAATATAAGATTTTCTTGTAGTGACTTTTGTTGGCAAATTTTGGGTCATGTATATATATGATACATATTTAAATGTGTTAGGGTCATTATTTATTAAGCCAAATAATAAAGTGATCTGAATAAATTAAAGTTTTGGCTAAAGGCATATGTCATGAAAATAATATTGTGTAGAGACCATAAAGTAATTTCTAATTTGATGAGGGGCCAAATTGGAAATACTAAAACTTAAGTAATTAACCTAATTTTGGTTATATAAAGGGTCATGGTCCCCTTCTGAGAGCACACAGACAGAATACAGATACAGTCCTGTTCCTTTCTTTCTATCCCCATCAAGAGAGAAAATCCATAGGGAAATACGGGTGCTCTTCAGGTGGAAGACCATAAGATCAACTCAAAGGTGCTCTACAAAGAATATCATCATTATGGCTAAATCAGGTACGCTTTCGCATTTAGTTTATATAACATGTTTATAGTATGGGATTATAGATATATGTTTGATCATTAGGATGAAGATCATAATCAATTACAGTTTAATCTAACAATTGGTATCAGAGCAACCCATACTTGATTCATGTTTGTATTTGGAAATTAGATTTATCAAAATTTAGATTATATTTAAATCAGAAGCGAAGAATAATCTCCCAATTTTGTAAACCCTACCTTCAAATTTGGGATTAAATTCCCAATTTTAAAACCTATTTTCGAATTTGGGGTAAATTCCCAAATTTCCACGTTGAGAGAATTCTGTGGAGCGAGGGCCAAATTCCTCGCCGTGTCTCCGGGCTCGCCGCCAAATCCGACTTTGTAGGTTCTTCACCAGCCCCATAGTCGTCGGTGTGGCCACTAGTGCCTTCCTCTTCGTGGCAGATCTTGTTCGCAAGGTCGATTTCTCCATACCCGTTGATTTCATTCGAGCTGAATCCTACGGCTCCAGTACTGAGTCAAATGGCGCACCAATCATTTCCTTCGATTTGAAGGTTGACATCAACGCTCGTCACGACATCTTGGTTGAAGACATTGTAGATACTGGTCATACCTTGTCTAGAGTCTTTAAGCACTTGAAATCAAAAGGAGCATCCTCTGTTTCTGTATGCACTTTCCTTGATAAACCTTCAAGGAGAAAGGTGGATGTTCAGTTGGTCGGTGAAGGAAAATTCTACCGTGGATTTGAGTGCCCAGACTACTTTGTTGTAGGTTATGGAATGGATTTTGCCGAACAGTACAGAAATTTGCCTTATATTGGTATTTTGAAGCCTGAACATTATAAGTAATCTTATTTCTCTTGGTCAGTATTTGTCACACATGGATGTTGGCAACTGGTTGGTAATAGTGACATGTTATGGGTGGCGTATTTTGCCATGTGCGTCATATGTATGCACCTTATGTTGTAAGCGTGAGGAAGGATCACTTAAACTCTAGCAAGCATATCCATGGTTCTCGCTCTTATACAACTTGCTTTGCGGACTCTTCCCGTTTTAACTTTAAGGGCCATGAATGGTTCTTTAGAATTATAAATTTGATTTTATTATATAAATAAAATATTAATTTGTTTGGTAGTTTAATATTTTTTTGAGCAAATTGAGTCAAGAAGTTACCAAAGTAACCTCTCTTGAATTGGGCAGTTCATGAAAAAATATTGAATGTTAGTGTTTGTGTATATTCATGCGAGTATTAGTCGGCCCAAAGGAAGATTAATATTTGGCCGAATTGCATATACACTTGTAATGATAAACATGTGATAATTATAAAGATTTGCTTTGTCGATGATAAATCAATCCAAAGACTGGTTTGTTGTTGGACGTGCTTTATTGTCAATGTTTGATTATTACAACAAGATACCTCTAGCAGTTAATATTACTTGTCCAAAGACTTGATATTGATGGTGCATTGGGTGTCTTGAGATGGGTTAAACCATTATTTGAATATATATTTTATTTATAATTATTTATTTTTTGTAATGTGAGCATAATTAGTTTATTTCTTTTGTTCTAATCCAGCTACAATTGCTTCAGTATTCGCCAATTTAAATCATGTTCCGATCCTCAAAAATATGTTTCCTACTTTGGTCCGTTCTGAAGTCAATTTAGCGTCGATACCTAGTAACACTTGGTGGTTAGACTCGGTGCAACTACTAACATCGGTGTTTCTATAAAGGGTTGCCTAAGCTACCGGAAGCCAATTGATTCTGAAAGATGGATATATGTTGGAGATGACAAATCGGTAGAGGTGGAAGCCATAGGGCATTTTAAATTGTTATTGAGTACTGGTTTTTATTTGGATTTGAAAGACACTTTTGTTGTGCCGTCATTTAGACGGAATTTGGTTTCAGTTTCTTACCTGGACAAATTAGGTTATTTGTGTTCATTTGGAAACAATAAGTTCAGTTTGTCTTTTAATTCAGATATTATTGGAACTGGTTCACTTTTGCCTTATGATAATCTGTATTTACTTGATACTGTGACCACCTATAATGAAACCCTTAATACAGAATAACGGGGTACTAAACGTAAAATTGATGTTACTCACTCAGGAGCATTATGGCACAGGCGCTTAGGTCACATCTCTAAAAATAGAATTGAACGACTTGTGTCAACTGGAATCTTAGAGTCCATTGACTTCACAAACTTTGATGTTTGTATTGAATGCATTAAGGGCAAACAGACCAAAGCGAAGAGATTAGGTGCATATAGAGCTACAGACGTCTTAGAGTTGATACATACGGACATTTGTGGGCCATTTCCTTCACCTTCGTGGAATGGTCAACAATACTTTATATCATTCATAGACGATTACTCACGATATGCATACTTATTCCTTATACATGAAAAGTCACAATCTCTAGACGTGTTCAAAACATTTAAAGCTGAAGTTGAAAATCAACTCAATAAACGAATTAAGTCTGTCAGATCTGATCGTGGTGGTGAGTACTATGGCAGATTTGACGGGTCAGGTGAACAGCGTCCAGGACCTTTTGCCAGGTACCTAGAGGAGTGTGGAATTATCCCACAGTATACCATGCCGGGATCACCTAGCATGAATGGTGTAGGCTGAAAGACGAAATCGAACTCTTAAAGATATGGTCGGGAGTATGATTTGTCATTCCACCTTACCGAGTCACTCCGGGGAGAGGCACTAAAGCCAACAACTTATATTCTGAACAGAGTACCAACTAAAGCAGCGACCAAAACACCTTATGAGCTTTGGACTGGGCGACAACCTAGTCTGAAGCATTTCCATGTGTGGGGATGTCCAGCTGAGGCAAGGCCTTATAAGCCAAATGAAAAGAAATTGGACTCCCGAACAGTAAGTAGTTATTTTATTGGTTATGCTGAAAGATCCAGGGGATATGAATTTTATGATCCCACATTAAAGACAATTTTTGAGACGGGAACTGCTACGTTCTTTGAGGATATTGAGTTTGGGGGGAAGAATAAGATTAAGAACTTCATCTTGGAGGAAGAATCGGTAACAATTTCATAACCGATTCAAATAGTTACTTTTGATAAAGTAAGTTCGGAACCTCCACAAGGCATTGTTGATGAACCCCTTACTCAAGATAATTTGGTTGTTCATAAAGAACAAACTCAAGATCCTCAAGAAGCTGTGCATCATGAACTAATAACTTTGCAGAGATTCACTAGAGAAAGAAGAAGTGCTATTTCGGATGATTACATGGTATTTCTTCAGGAACATGAGGAAAATAATGATATAATGGAAGATGATCCAATTAACTTCCGTCAAGCTATACAAGGTTCTAACTCTCAAAAGTGGATTGAAGCAATAGGATAAGTATAAGTCCATGCAAGACAATAAGGTTTGGGAATTTGTCCCATTACCAGAAGGTATGAAACTTATTTGGCTTCAAGATGAATATTGTTAATGATTGTATGTATCACAAGTTTAAAGGGAGACAAGTTTAGTCTCAATCAGTGCCCAAAGGAAATTTGGAAATTGAGGAAATGCAAAAGATTCCCTATGCATCAGTTGTAGGGAGTTTGATCTATGCCCAAGTATGTACGCATCCAGACATAGCATATATAGTTGGGGTTCTAGGCAGATATTTAAGCAATCCAGGAATATACCATTGAAAAGCAGCAAAAAGGGTCATAAGATATTTAAAGAGAACAAAAGATTATATGCTCACATATAGGAGGTCGGACCAGTTGGAGATCGTCTGGGTTTTCCGACTCGAGATTTTGTAGGATGTCAAGAATTTGTAACTTGCTATGAGGCATCAAATCATGGAATATGGCCGATAAATTTTGTCACAGGGCTGCAAATTGTGAAAGGCATTGAAAGACCACTTAAGTTATATTGTGACAATAAATCAGCTGTATTGTTAAGGAAAGAGTACAAAGTGGACAAATTTTCATAGAACACTTAAGGACAAACTCCATGATACCAGATCCTCTGACTAAAGGACTTCCGCCCAAGGTCTTTCATGAGCATTTTGCTCACATGGGTGTTTTACAGTTTGAGGAATTTGTGGTTTAGTGGGAGTTAGTCATTTTCATATATTCTATGTTTAATTTTATATATGTATACATTATTTTTGGACATATTTGGTTATCTATAGATATGCGGTTTTCTTGTTCATTCATTACACTTTGTACATTAAGGTTATTATATCGATCTCGATAAGTTAAAGTTTGGACCAGTTGAAAATAGACGTGTACAGATCACATTCACGTAATTTTTCATGCTACACATTTCATGATGAATCCATGTCATTTGGTTATGTCAGGATGAGTAATCATTGTTGGTTTTAGTTGCGATGATGCAATGAAAAGCTGGTTTGGTTCTATATCCTGATATGATTAATGGACAGGACTTTTGGAATATGCTAAAGGAATATAATGACAATTTTGAGCTCATAAAGTCTAACACATTTGTAAGGTTGTAAAGACATATATATTTGTGACCAGTGGGAGATTGTTGGCAAATTTTGGGTCATGTATATATATGATACATATTTAAATGTGTTAGGGTCATTATTTATTAAGCCAAATAATAAAGTGATCTGAATAAATTAAAGTTTTGGCTAAAGGCATATGTCATGAAAATAATATTGTGTAGAGACCATAAAGTAATTTCTAATTTGATGAGGGGCCAAATTGGAAATACTAAAACTTAAGTAATTAACCTAATTTTGGTTATATAAAGGGTCATGGTCCCCTTCTGAGAGCACACAGACAGAATACAGATACAGTCCTGTTCCTTTCTTTCTATCCCCATCAAGAGAGAAAATCCATAGGGAAATACGGGTGCTCTTCAGGTGGAAGACCATAAGATCAACTCAAAGGTGCTCTACAAAGAATATCATCATTATGGCTAATTCAGGTACGCTTTCGCATTTAGTTTATATAACATGTTTACAGTATGAGATTATAGATATATGTTTGATCATTAGGATGAAGATCATAATCAATTACAGTTTAATCTAACAACTTTTTCGTCAAGATTGTTTTATCTGGAACAATAGAATTCATGTTTCTCCCTTTGCCATATGTATATCTTATCTAGTTTTTCTAACATACTCTTCAAAAGCACATAAATTACTTCTAGCAAGGGAAGCAAAAATATATGCACTAATAGGTTCAATTCATTCATTCACAAATTCTTCTTTATCTTTGAAAAACCATTATCATCTCTCTTCACCATCCTGAAGGGTAGATTTTTCCAATCTCATTAGCATGACTCATAATGGTGAAAGACTCTCCATCCAAATTAACTCTTACATATTTAAAAACTTTTGAAAGAAAAAAATAGAGTAAGGTAAAGGATAAAGAGGTAGCCTATATGATTTCCTGATATTCACTTAAAATAGAAGGCCAATCAATTTGAAACCTAGATTTAAGAGCATGTAATATGTACATATCTTCAGAAGTCATTTGAACGTGATTGCTCCCCCGTGGCTATAAGAATCCAAGTAATGACAAAAGCCAATAGCCTCTCATCCTTTTTCATACCCCCAGTTTTGCATATTGAATAGTTCCTGACAGTATTTGGATTTCTAAGATATGTCTAAATATAACTAACTTGTTAAAGTTTCTAAAACCTTTGGTGACATTCTCACCTCCTATCTTAAACCCTACAACATTAGTTCATATCTCTTCATCTAGAGCTATATCTACCCTTTCACTCCAGAATGGATAACCCCATCTATAGTTTTCATATTGCAGTAAAAAACATTAACTAGGTCAGGATAGAAAATCCCATTTAACTCAATGAATTTGTCTAAACCTTGATATATTAATAAATCTTGGAATAA